CCCTATCCGGATCGCCCCTGACGAGGCCCTCCGCGGCTTAGAGGCCGATTAAAAGCGAATTAGACTCTTGGCTAAAGCTCAGCTGTGTGATATCTTGCTCAACCGCTCAGACATGCAAGCTCTGGACGAGTTCGTCAAGACGCACAGCCCGTCACCAAAAGTGATGAAAGAGTTGGAATCTTGCGATGCGGGTCAGTTAAGGGAAACACTGGAGAAGACAGAGCAGATGTTAGATGAGATAAAGGGAGACCTGGATTTGCTCCAGCTAATTAAGAAAGTCAAAGAAGCGTTAGGTGTGATTGATCAAAGGCGGTTTGCGGGGACTAAGACGGGATACTTTGCGCTGGTCCCTGCAACAGGCAAAGTAGGTGATCAGGTGGCGATTTTTAAAGGCGGGAAGATGCCCATACTTGTGAGAGAGAAGCGAGAGACCCTAGGGGAGTGCTACGTCGAGGGGATGATGCATGGTGAGGTTTTTGCGGAGGACAAGTGCGAGGAGTTTGAGATTTTCTGATACTCACGACACTCTTTAGTAATACCATACCTGTAATTTACGACGAATCTGGACACACTTAATTTCCTTTTTCGTGTTTGGGGCACGTGACGGTTGCTCATGCTATTTGAAAAGTTGTCTTGAAGTCAGAATCAGCTGAGAAAATGCATTTAGAACCTCAAAAATAAAACACAAGAGCACAAAAACACTAATGTCACATGGACAGAAGACTGGAATCACCTATTCCATACGACGAAGCTGCCCAGTTTCTTTCCTCCTAGCTTGAGTCCAACTGGCTATTAGCTCCAGCCCAAAACGAGCTCAATCTGTTCTCGACGCCGCTCCACCCAAATTCTCTTGTCAACTCGACCAATGCCAAGCCGATACGCAACACTGGCCTTCCACTCCACCCACAAAACATTGTAGAACTCGAATTCCGGTCTTCCCTGGCTCACGAGCTCCCAGTGCTCGCTAAGTGCAGCCCATGCGGAAGCTGAGGAGTTCACTTTCCTCCGATATTTTTACTAGCTCCAGCCAGCTGCTCTGCCTTGTGTATGAGCGGAGAGACATCGCGCCAGCGAAGGACACTGAGACATCCAGCCCACTGTTGCTGCTTGCTGCCTTCAATGTGAACGATGTTTGACTTCCCTCCGTATGACAGTATATGCCCAGCTCTCAAGGAAGACTCTTTCCGTCTGGCATTTGACGAGATGTGGATTCTTGGGTATTGTTGTTGTTGATGTTGCGATGGCGCCCTCCCGGACATTCTTTTCGTCAATGAGGGGAATCGGATAGTTGAACGCTGTATTCGGATCGCGGGGATGGTAAAAGAGCTTCCCCTTTTGATACCAGCCTGCTGGCGGGAGCACCATCGAGTTAGAAAAATTGCAGTCCCCCCATTGCTGGAGATTTTCATGGATTGGCCGCCTCCCTGGGTCCTCCTCCTCCTCCTCCTCCTCCTCCTGAGCTTGCTATGCGCATGTGGTGATGGTAACAAGACCGTCCAACTGCATTCGATATTTTTTTTCTTTGTCTTCGTGAGAACGTGCCGTGCCGGGGCAGCCGGGGCTCATTATCATGATCATGATCATCCTCGGGAACATCGGCCAGATACGAAAACCCACTTGCCCAAGCTGAAAAGTCAACCTCTGCTTCGATGGCCAGAGAAACCATCCAGGACCAAGTTGGTATTGGAAACGTTTCCATGTCGCTTCCAGCTGACGAGGAGGGGACAGGTATTTTCGTTCGCCAACAGTAGAGCAATGTCAAATGCGACATCGGGGAGGCCAAAGAGGAAGCCGCCGGGAAACGAAAGAGTGAGAGCGGTCGTGATGCCGGAGAATGCCGGGACGATGTCGCTTTGGAATGATAACTTTCGGCCGCTGTAGCTTTCGGCTAGGTCGGAAAATTCCTCGAGGTTTGACCACGGCGAGTAGTGCAATCCTCGCGACTCGGCGGAATACCTAACCGAACAGGCGGCGGCTGCCTGTTCTAGGAGGTCCCGACTGGCTTTCCTCCTCCCAGTAGCGTGCTATATTGCGCAGTGGCATTCCTAGGTGACGTTGGACTTGTGGAAGAAAAGGCAGCGCTGCGAGAAGACCAACTCCTGCAGACTCCACCCTCGTCCGTTCCAGGGAGATGACGATATCAATTGATCATGGTCAAGTTCTTCGATGTTGTACCGGTTATGGTAGACGGGGTCTGGAGAAAGAAACCCCTCGGATACCCCTTCTATGCCGCGCAATCCCTCTCTGGCATTGCTCGCACCTGCTGCCACGATGGTGAAGTAGGCGTTGCCGTAAACGAAGGCCATGTCGTGAATCTGCACCTGTTTGGAGGCATGATCATGCTGCACGATGCAGAACCGGTCCACCCACAGATACCTCTTCCCTATGAGGCTGACGCATTCCATCGCGTCACGGACAGTTCGGGGAAGTACCTCTCAAATCATGCTAAATGCATCGTGGGCTTGGAAGAGAGGCAGATTTCTCGACTCGAGCTGTCGCTCAGCTGCGTGATTCGCGAGTTTGACACCCCAGACGTAGCTCAGCGCGATGTAGCGAGATTCTGGCCGGAATGTCACCAAGCGCTTGTCATGAACATCGATTACCCAGACCGGTAGTCCTGTAATGCTTCCTGGGTATACTCCACTAAATAGTAATAATACCTGCCTAAGTTGGTACATTAGGTCCATTAGTGCTAGTTAGCCTCGTAACTCAAAAACACGGCGCTGCACATCGCTCAAAAAGGGGCAAAAGTACTAAACAATGCAGAAGATCAAATGTGCAATTGACAGCAAGCAACTCCTCTTCTAGTGCACCAGTACTAAATCTTGAACTGTATATACAGAGACGTCTCTTTCTTTTCCTCTCTCTCCTTCAAAACAACTCAATACCGGGTCTGGCCGCGAATGCCTGCCCTGCGTCCGTGGTTGTGCTCGGCAGCGGGGGCAGGCGTGGTGAAGTCGATGCACGACTCGTATGTCTGGCCTTGGCCGAACCAGTACCATTGGATGACCTATTTGTTTTAAACACATTTATGTCAGTACACTGACTGGTACGTATCTCAGAAATTGGGCAAAGAAACTCACGCAAGCACCAGCCTCGGTGCACTTCCCGCCTAGCTCGGGCACCTTGATGCTGAACTTTGTCTGGTCGGCGGGGGGCTTGTTGCTCGACGCGTAGTTATCCGCCCACGAGATCAGGGGCGTGCCCACGATCGTGTTGGACGCCGTGTCGACGACGCTGACGTTGGCGTACCCCTTGTGCGGGATGCGGATGTACACCTCGAGATTGACAACGTCGCCGGCCTTGTACGACTGCACGCCCGCCTTGTTGTCGGCGAACTGGAACCCCTTGCACAGGTACTGGTTGCACTTCTTGGGGTCGTAGCCGTCCGTCAGGCCCTTGGGGTTCTCGCGCGCGAGGGCTTCCGGGTAGGACGTGTTGTCGGCCTTGTAGAACTTAACCAGGGTCTTGCCGCAGGCGGCGGCGGTGGCGTCGCCGGGTTGTCGGGTCGCGGGTTTTTGGACTAGGCCGTGGCTGGCGGCGAGGCCGGCCAGGCTGAGGAGGGTTGCTAAGGAGAACTGCATTGTCGGTGATGTTTTGTGGACGGTTTGTTTGGCTAATACCCGTGATAAGCAAGCCACATCTTTTTGTTTTGTTTGGTATCTGGGCACTCTGCTTTATGTATCAATCCCCAACCCATAAAAGCCCCATTTCGGTAACAGCGGCAGATGAGCAGCGGGTCAGATTAAACGACAGCAGAAAGTTGGGGAAACGACAAACAATTTTGGCGAGCAACCCGCCCCCCGGGCTGTTTTTGCCTAATACCGCTCCCCTTTTTCTAGGGGTACTTTTGCACCATGCACAACCAATCAGCTCTCCGGATGCATACAAGATTTGATCTATGTGAAAATATCTCGTTTATTACGGAAGTTCCGGCATGCGGAATCGAGTGCTATCCGCCGCCGAGGGTTGCCATGCAGCCCATACGATTGAGGGCCACAGGGGAGTATGTCTGGGGATCGGAGCTAAGCATCCAATATATATAATGACAAATACTTGTCTTTTGGTGACTGCACAAGATGCTTAGTGGATTTGGAGTACTTTGCGTATTCGATCCGAGGCTCGGGGCTGTGACGCTGTGACGCCGTGACGCTTTCTCTCGGACGTGAGTTACTGGATGCGCTTCAAACAATTAATTGACGGTGGGCGGTGGCTCTGTTTGACCGCTTCGGAGACTAAAATCAAGATTTTCCAGTCAGTAATAACTAAGTTCAATCCTCTCGGAGAGTCTGAAGAGGCCGGATGACGAGCTCACGCATGGCTTGAGCTGTATGTTGACCACGCATGAACAATGGCTGAAGCGGGTAGATTTGGAGCCTCAAGTCACTTGTTCAAGATTTCTTTTGGGGTCAAGAATCTACCATAGTTCTGTGTCTAGCACTGGTTTGTTCTCTCTTATCATATTCAGTACAAAACCCTGAGATTATAGCTTATGCTTATCACTGAATACAATGAATACTAGATGACTAAGAATAACCAACGATTAAGGTATCGACAACTGGTACCATACTCACTCACGCTTGTGATCACACGAGATTTAAAAAAAAAGAGGAATGATAGGTATCACTGAGTACCCAGCTGGTGTCAAAAGACCTCCTAAGTCGAGTGTCGACCAACAAGCAACGAAGAGTCATTTTGCGACATGCATCACGCAAAATATTGTTCAAGCGTTTTATCCAGTACGTGGACGTAAGAGCTTCAAATCTGGGTCTTGTTCAAGAACCCAATTAAATTCGTGCGCTGCTTAAATCGTTGCCTTAACTCCACCATTCAATGCGTCCATAGGTAAACTTGTATCTTCAACTTCGACGTCGTCCAAAATCGTGACCAGCAGCACCTCACGTTCCACAATTCGAAAGCGCTGAACAAGGTTCCCCTTACCACATAAAAAGCTTCAAATAAGCAAAAGTAGTAGTTAGAATCAAAAATAATTGGAAAGTGGGCTCAATCGGGATTCGAACCCGAGACCTCGCACAAGCTTGTTACACTGTTTGAACAGGTAATGGGATACAAATCTGGAAGAACCAGAAAGGATTCACCCGAAGCACGAATCATACCACTAGACCATTGAGCCAAGTTCTCCTTGTTCTTGTTGGATGTTTTTTCTTGGCTGGAATCCACCGCCATCTCCACGTGTTGGTGGCTACCAGAAACGAGGAGTCATATTTTGGGGTCTCCATAAGAGTTCCACTTTCGATTTTTTTGCTTGGCTTTCAACTTTGCCCCTTTTCCTTTTGATCGGCTTTGAGCACTTTAAAAAACGCGAGATTTTGGTGTCTTTCTCTGTGAGGTTTGGTGCACGGTCTGTGATCTTTGTTCACAGCTTTTTATGGATGGACAAATCTCTGTACAGCCACATTGATGTCCATGTTCATCATTGGGTCCAGGCCACGGCACAGAGATGGGCAGATATTGCTCTTGATGTATTATCAGCTTCACACTCCACTCCTCGTTTTCTATTTATCTGTCTCTCTCCAAGACCACAAACAAATAACCTATCCCGTCCAGTCCGTATTTCTCTATCACTGCGTTTACCCCCTTTTTCTTTTTGCAGAAAATAGTAGCTTAGAAAAGAGCAGCAGGCTTGGCACCACCCTGCGCCTTCTGAACCAAAGCAGTAAAGTTGGCCAGCTTGGCGCTGCTCAGGTCATGCGACCACTTGCCGCGCGTGTTGTGAATGCCGAAGCGGCTGTTAGGATCGGCGGGCGTGGAGGGCGCGGTGCTGGACTGGGCGTACGCGAACGACACGGCCTTGCTCTCCGGGTCGAGCTTGGTGGTGCCCCACGAGCTGACGCCCTTGGCCAGCGCGTTGAGCGTCCAGTGCGTGGTGTTGGCGACCGACCCCGGGAGGATGGTGTAGTTGGCGGCTGCGTAGGCGGTTGGGTAGGTACGTGCGCTGTTATTTTTATTCATCATTAGCAAAAAGGCGGAAAGGGGGAAGGGGAGAGAGAGAGAATGTGTGACATACCTCGCGCTGCGGCTCGTGACGACAGTGTTGGCACCGTTCGCCCAGGCGACGGCCAGCGGGTTGTTGACCATGACGCCGCCCCAGGCGATGCCCGCCCAGCCGACCGCCTTGGGGGCGACGATCTGGAGGAGCACGTCAAAGGCGCCCGCGGTGGCCGTGTCGGGGATGGCGATGCGGTACGTCACGCCTCCGGGGCTCGTGTACTCGGAGTAGCAGATGGTCGTGGACGCATCGCAGTACTTGGCTGCGGCGGAAACAGCTTGCGCCTCGGGGACTGGGGAGCCCAGAACGGTCTGGCCCAGGGCCAATGCGGCGGCAGCGAGCTGGAGGAGACCCATTTTGTGTTTATGTGGGATTATTTGGACCGAGGAGACGAGGAAAATGCCAAGCAACGAGAGAAGGGATGGGCAGACGAAAAAGCTGGCTGGGAGAGGCTTGCTCGGATATATAAGTCAACAAGCTGTGTGTCTGGCCGAGATAGCGGCAGCTTTATCCGGCCATGCTGGCGCCTCCGGGTGTATGGGCCGGGCCTCCCCTCTAAGTGATGATCTCAATCTTGCTATGCTTCTATTTTGGTTGTAAATTGTGTTTGCGCGGTAGCTGAGGAGGGGATAATTGGACGGCGGTTCCATGCAAATCATAAATGCAACGTCCACCGTCTGCCGCTGTCTGGGAACATTATTACCCAGACGTCTGGGTAATACAGGGCCAGCAGCCAGCACAGCAAGCGCCTATATAAGAGCAATGTTCCCACTTCCTGTTCTCGGTAAGGAGGGAGGGGCAGAATTGTATCGACGAGGTTCAATGCTTGCTGACGCGCCCAGTCTCGATATCAACGGGGCTCGGCTCGAACCAGAAACGGCCCACCAATTGGAGGTCATCTATTAGGCGGCTCCTGGGACTCGCGTGGGAATTTTTATGCAAGGGCAGCGAGTCCAGTCGGAGTAAGAAGCGGGGTCCGAAAGGGCCTGCGGAATTAATATCTGGGTCCATTTATTTGGCGTTCTACAAGAAGCTTGTCCTTCGGCTGGTGCAAGAATTCGGCTCCAGGCTAAAAGCCAGCAGGCGCTGTGCTCTGCGCCCTCTCTCCCTACTAAAGGCGAGAGCACATCTTTATCTGCCCGCCCGTATAGTGTGCTCGCAAAGAGGGCCTCGGACATCCGTCTTCCAGGGGTATGGTGCTGCGGCAGATGAAGCGAGCCACCAATTGTCGTCTCTCGATTTTCAATCACTGAATTGCTTGGGAACAGCCTCCCCTCTCCCGGTCCCGAGAGCCCCCTCCTGTACCCGCGCCGCTATTCCGCTGTGCCAAGATGTGCATTCCCATTGTCCGGGTACAGTGTTGCGATATGATGTGATTGTTCAGCAGAAGTGTGAAACATGAAGTTCAAACTGCCTTGAGGTTTGGGCACGAAGAAGTGGCAGGAGGAGCACTCAAAGACCGCTCTCACACTCTAGTTTGATATCTATAGGAACTAAACGCTGCGTTTGAAAAGGAATTCTGTAATAAATCCAAAGGCTAAACGGAGAGGACCTCCAAGTGACCGCATGAAGCTTGAAATCCTATCGTTCTTCACGTTTCAGTATTTGAAGTATCAAGACAATCAGCGAATCGTTGATGAGTTATTTTAGAGTATAACGCCAGTCCTATTATCTTGGCTTTCCATCCACCATGAATTTCGTGCACATGTGTGGCCGTATGCAACTCGGGCCGTCTCCGACTATGGTGTGCATCCCCTACCGTGAGGCTCGGGGCTCAGCTTCAACTGTGTTGGGCAATGCCAAGCACGATCGGTGTGACTGGCTGCACAAAAAGGGCAAGGCCGACGGACTTGCATTCCCTATTGAAGTAACCCCAAGAACTTGCTTTGAAATCTGGAACCTAGAGCCAGAAGTTCAACTTGTCACCGAAAAAGATTATCAATTTTCCTCTAGCTCTTTCCATTTCCACCACTGTCGTCTTCTTTCTTTTCTTTTTCTCGTACATGTCTTATAATACCATCCAAAACCGCAATCAAACCACCATGGCTTTTATATCATCAGGTCCATGGTAGCTAGTGTACCTTCGTCAAGTTTGTTCTCCCATACAAAGTCTACAGAACTTAAACCCCCATAAACCGCAGAGCGATGGGCTTCTTCGACAACTGCCGCCCAAAGGACAGGTTCACCTCAAGCGGGCGAGTCTACCGCGACGACAGCACGATCTGCATTGCGCACGATTGGGACCAGCGGCGCACCGTCGCAGTCGGCACAACCTGGGGCGAGCTAAGCGACGAGAACGACTATTTCTTCTTCTGGGCCCTATCGAAACATATCGATGGCAGCCTATCTCCTGAAACCATCGCTATCCAAGTCTCAGCCGAGGGCGATCTCGTGTGGGCATCCACCAAGCCGGAAGACGACTTCACCAGAATCCCTTTCTACCCCTCAGTGTCTGATTATCCAGCTGGACTGCCGACGGTCCGGCGGTCTAAGCTCACTGAGATAGAGCGAGTTGGCATCCAGGCAGATCTCGTCAGCTACAAAGTTGAACGGTGCGAGACGAAACGGGTGGTGTTCAAGTACTATGTGACCCCGCGCAACACGGATAAACTGTGGCACGAGGCGCATTGTGTGATGAGCATCCCGAGGTATCCCAACATTGTTCCGTTTGACAGCCTTGTCGTCGATAGTCTGGACGGCATCGACGCAAGAGTCCTTGGTTTTACGACCAAGTTTATTCCTGGAGGAACGCTCTTTGACAATGTCCAGAGGATATTTAAACTCAAGTATCTCGAGCAGCTGATAGAGGCATGTCTCTCATAATCAACCCTACACCACCCTGTACCTCCCCACTAATGAATGTTTTCAGGCAATCGACTTTCTGAATCTGAAATTAGGCATCATCCACGGAGACATCAGCCCCTGGAATCTTCTCATCGACGAAGAAGCAGACAACCTCCTGGTCTTCGACTTCAACCTTGCCGCCCGGCTCGGCTGGGAGGGCGATCAAAATCACGGGAAAGTGTTCAGCTACGACAAACACCGCAACGACGTCAAATACACGATCTTCACCCTCTACGAGATCATCACGCGCGATTTCCACTTTCGAGATGAAGAGACGTACCCTGAAGATCAAGACGCAGCAGACGTGCTGCGTGTCGAAAGCTGGAAACAGCATCCAGATGTGCGGCTCGATGCCTCCCCCGAAAAATATCGTGCCGTGCTAGACGAGTGGGTTGCGAGGCGAGAAAAGACCGACGCTGAGTTGACGCATTATACACTGGCCCCGGAGCATATCAGCTGGCCGGATGTGCCCGAGTATCTCGAGGCGCGCTTGAGGCAGACCTTGGTGCGGAATGATGAGAAGTTTTTCGAGTGGCAGCGGCCGGGGAGTCGTGCGATCAAAACAGAGAGAGAGGAGAAAGGCGTCTGGTCCCCGGATATAAATGGTTCTGTCGAAGACACTCCCAGAAGGTTGACGACTATTAATATCCAGTCTTAGCTCACCTTAAACAGGGCCGTCAAATCAGCTCTCCACAATGACCAAGCTTTCCTTCATTAGTAATAGCTAAAATGAAACAGCCAGCTTGGAGCGGCATCCGTCAAGCATCAGCACTTATGTGGAAACTGATGACTTGGGGAAACCGATTACTGATTGCGTGTATCATGTGTGTGATACAATCACACATTTCCACCGTATTGGAGCAGATAAAACCATGCGCCGCAATGTAACATACCCCAGATTCGCGAGCCCCACCAACTCAGCGCCTCGAAGACCGCAGTCAGCTGACACGATGCTCCCAGATTATAACTTGGGAATGATTACTCACGAGCGCCACAGCTTCAAGTTGGGGCTCCAGGCCCGGGCGTAAGAAGTTTCCCACATCCGGATACGTATGTGTCAATATGAAACAAGAAGAAAGAAGCCAACGATGGAAAGTGTTTTGTCTATTCGCGGCGAGAAAGCCAGGTTGAAGACCCAGGAGAAGTTATTGCTGATGGGCACAGGTCTTAAGCCACGAAAGGCTTGTTTTGAAAGGCGGATTTGGTTGTTCATGATGTTTAGACACGTCTTCAGGTGGAAGATAAAAAGGAAGCATGCTGCCATCACAAACCCTCTCTCC